GGGGTTTAAGTGTGAAATTAGGAAATTTTGGGGTCAATTGAAATCTGTTAGGGCCAAATTGAGAGAAAATAAATAGGGAGGACCTAACTGTTAGGATGCTTAATTTTCGGGGCCAATTCAAAAATATCTTAGGGAGGTAATTGATGGAAAATGACATACAGGGGGGTTGGACTCAAAATGGGTTATAAATTCCAGTAGTGGCTTGCCAAAAGGGGAAATCAGTCAAATTTTGTCCAATCAGACTTGATCAACTGGCCAAAATTGTGTATAAATGCAATTGAAAGTATGATCGAGCTAGGTTTGCGATCAATTTCGAGAATCTCATTACGTTTTGCTTGAATTTCTAAGTTCAAATTGTTCGGGTGTTCGGGACAAAGCCAACAGGAATTTTCAACCTTTCGCTGGAGATTTCCAAGAATTTCTTCCAGGAAATGGTTCCATAAGGTTCAATTTGCAGCTGGTGATCTTGGTTGAGTTCACAAATTAAGGTAAATGTTGAATTTTGCTTTGAAAACTAACGAGCAAACCTTTCAGACAACTGGGTCAATGAAACAGGTTTTCGAGTGGAAAGGATGGACCCGGATAGAATCCAAGTCTGTCTTGGCCAAACAAGGCCAGTCCAACCTAGTTAGGCTAGGGACCAACTGGTTTGGGGGTTGAACCAGTCCATCTTGTACGAAACAGGACAGGTTCTAGGTTATGCTCATAGGGTTCTCCTTGAATGAACCAACTTAAGAGATGTGATAGGGCGGTTCAGCTTGGTTTTGAGGAAGTTTAGTCTAGTTCATGTCATATTAGTGAGATTTTAAATTGGTTCAATCCGATTTTGCATAGATCCTAGCTGGACCAATTTAATTTTAATGATTTTTAGTTTGGTTTAGTTCGATTTCAATGGGTTTGGTTTGGTTTAGGTGGTTTTAGGCTCGGTTTATCCTAGTTTAGGTGGTTTTAGGACTAGTTCAGGTGGTTTTGGACTCGGTTCAATCTAGTTCAGGGGGTTTTTAAGCTTGATTTAGTTTGATTTAGGGTATTTGAACTCGGTTCAGTCCATTTTAAGGGGTTTCTAGGGGATTTTGATTCGGTTCAACCTGGTTCCAAGGTGTTTTGGTTTGGTTCAGCTTGGTTTAATGGTATTCGAGGCTGATTTAGGCTAGTTTGGGTTGCTTCAAGAATATTTAGTGTTGGTTCATTTTCGGTTTGAGGGTTTTTACGTGAGGTTAGTCCATGTTTTGGGTGTTAAATAATAAACTTCGGGGTGCATGCCAAAGGTTAGGGTGGAATTGAGGACCAACTTAAGGAAACCAAGTTTTTGAATAGTTTTAGTTTTGTATCTGGTTTTGATATATGTTAATGTGGTTATAGATATCCCGATGAGACTTGTTTTAGTAGTCGAAGGTACCCAAGAGATTTGGCCAATTATGTACAGTGAGTGATAATACTTTCTCTTTACATGTGTTTTGATTCTGATTATTGTTTATCTGTTTTGAAATGTGTTATTGGTTTTGAAATGTAAATTCTTGGACAAGTATTCAATTTTGTTAAAAATTACAATGAGCTTTTGAAGTAATTGGCTTGATATAAAATTATGCATCTGTTATATGTATATATATATATATATATTTTTTTTTTTCTGAAAATATATGATGAGAGTTGTTCTAGTTTCAGTTTAGACGAACACAATTGTTTTCGGACATTATGTGTCTTATGTCTGTTCTGGTTCTGATTATGGCTCTAGTTTTGATTTAGTATGGGATCCCGATATGTGATATGTGTGATATGTGGTATGTGCCACCTTTGATAGGATATACTTTGTCGTGAAATGAGATTCTGATTTTGGTTCTAATTCTCCGATACTCTTATGTATTTTGGATTTGTAAGGCATATATGTGTAGTTTTCAGAAATGTGTTTGTTTGGCTCACTATCGTATATATATTTTGGCATAGCTCACGGTACATGTCCCAGCATAACTAAAGTCAATATTATCATTTACTGAGTTTGTACTCACTAATTTTCTAATATTTTTCGGATCGTAGTATGGGTCTATCATTCTAACGTACTTCTCGATTGAGCACGTAAATTTTTGACGAGTTGCTGCCAATGTATAGGTTTTGTTCCTTATATCCCCTGTACTTTTACGGTTGCTCCATTACTTATTAGACAGGTTTCTTCTAGTTGTATGAATTTTCAAGTAATTATATTAATTCATGTATTGTAAGTGTGATTTTGTCTAAAGCTTACTGGGATTGGGGAACCAACCTCAGTGCTAGTTATGTGCCTAGTTTTGGGGCGTAACAAGAGGATGCCCACTGATGTGGTTATAATTGTGCTGCCTCCGATAGTCGAGACAGTGGATTCTTCGGATCGTGAGAGCCATGAGGCTGGAGTCTCGCGATGTGGTTATTGTACTCCCACATGTGTATGTTTTTACTCTGGTATTGCTCACTGTATATATATATGTATAGTTTTAGATTTGTGATGTGATACATATCTCGACATATGTAAATTAGATATCATCCCTACTCACTGAGTCTTGTGACTCATATTTTATCATCATTTTAGATTTGGTGTGTGGTTCTTGTCTCATTTAGTGTGCTAGAGCTGGAGTGCGTATTGACAGATCATTTGATATATAGGCACTCTTTTTGTATTTTTCTCATTTTATATTCTAGAGTAACTATCTTTTACTCTCAGGTACAATTTCGTTTGTGAATTTGGATATGGTATTGGAATGCTTGGTGTATGATTTGTATTATTTGGCATATTAGGGTCGGTTGGCCCTAGTGCCAGTTACATGCCCCGGATTGGGTCGTGATAAGGGGTGTTTACATGTGCTTCTAGTAAGCATTTGTGCAAGACCCGAGACAGCTTCTAACTTCTGGGGTGTTTAGAACTCAATTTGTACATTATATTTTTGCTTTTTAAAACCAAAAAAATAAACTGTAGTAAAAGCAAAACCTTTAAATTGAGGAATGAGTGCTTTTAACTTCGATAGTATTTTTGTAATTAAATAGAAGCTGCCAAATGATACATTTTGACGATTTTGTCCTTTAATATTTAATTATATTCATATTCTACCCCTGTTTTCTATCTTATCTCTCCCTCTTGACTACTTCCTCTCTTCTCAGTCGACTTTGGTGTAGAGATGCTAGGGTCAAGGCCAGGGCTGGGTGTAGTGGGGATCGACCGCAATGGAGATGGCAAGGTTGGTGCTTCGCTTTTCGATGGTGGCAATGGCGAGGTGAGCAATGGCGATTGTGGGGATTACTATGATCTAACTAAGAAAAAGAAAGGAAAAATGAAATTAAAAAAAAGAAAGAAAGAGAAGAGAAACTTGTAGAAGCAAGCGACTGGGAAATGTTGCTTTCATCCTTGTCAAGTTTGCTCTTCTAGTGGTGGCAATGGCGAGGTCGATGGTGGCAATTATGGGGATTGATTGCAATTAACTAAGGAAAAGGAAGGAAAAATAAATTAAAAACAAAAAAAAAAAGGAGAAGAGAAGGTTGCAGAAGCAGGCAATTGGGATTCGCTGTAAATGCTTTTTTGATTTTTGGCGATTAGGGAGTCATAAAAGAGGCAGCACCAACAGTGTTGGAAAGCCTCATGTCCAACCTTGTTGGCCTACTTAGATCCTTGACCACCTCCTTCTCGGATCACTCCCCTACTAGCAATCAGTTGCAAGGCAAAAAGGGGAAAATTATTATAATAGTAAAGTAGTCAATTTTTTTCAAAAATTTCTCTACTATTATTTTACAAAAAAGTTTTTTTCATACACCATTGCACTATTTTTGAAAGCTTTTTAATGTATTTTTAAACAATTATTATTTTTAATTAAAATTAATTTTTATTTACTTCTATTTAAAATACTTACAATTGATTTTTCTAAAACATTTGCAAACCCCCCCCCCCCCCCGGCGGCGGGAAACTAACAGGCCCAACTTATGACATGAAGATGGGTACGGAGCCCACCATGAAGCCCATTCATTTGGTCCAGTCTTTAGCAGCATGCCCGCCATGCCTTGTACCCATTTTCAATTTGGGTTGAACACAACTTATTGCCGTTCAACGGTTTGGTTGGCGTAAATGCGGGAGGGAAAGAAAAGTGAAAAATGAAATATGAAACTACGAGATATTTAAATTTAAAATTTGAAAACATTGAGTTTGGAAAAAGCATATATTCAGAGAAAGTTAGTCTAAATAAAATAAGTTTAGTTGTTTAATTATAGATTTAAGTGGGTATAAAAAATGAATTTAAAAAGAATATTTAAATAAAATAGTTTTTAATAAATAATTTAAATAGAATGAATTTAATTATTTATTTATAATAAATTTAAACAAAATGTATTAAACTTCGTAATAAACAAAATTTAAATCATAAGGAGAATGTCTCAAAATAGCGACTACTAGATTAGCATTTAATCCAGGGTTACATGAAAAGCAAAAGAAAATCTTACTCAAAATGATCACCAAGCACTTTACATTGTTCACTAATTATTTAACAAACCACTTGAAAGAAAATTTCTACCAACAAGAAGGATCAGTTACCAAATTTTACTAGAATATTTTAACCATTAGAAATGGCCAATCGAGATTCAGATTATCATAATTTTTAATTACTCATTTTTTGTCAATTTTAGATTATTATAATTTAATTATTAAATAAAATCTCTAAAATTTCAAAAGCAAAAACTAAAAAATTATATCAACTTAACCAGATATTACTTACCTACTTCACACAAAGAATAGAAAACAATCACCCAAATAAACATATCCATAATACAAACTTTCCTTTGTAAACAATTTACATGACCAGTTATTTTCTGGGAAGCCAAACAAAATAAAAACTAAAGAGAATCAAACCCTAGTCAAAATAGAAACAAAGCAATTCATCACTATCTACACCCACCTCCAAGATAAAATTATATAAAGTAAAAATAAAAAGAGTAGCCTGGAAAAAACCTGTACATTGCACAAAAAAGGATATTCCATGTAGTACCAATCATCAATGCTTCTTCAGCTCCTCTTTGAGGTTGCCTTCAGTTGCCTTTCCACTCAATCCATTCAATTCCGTCGACTTCTTTTCGCCGGCTGATAACGGCGGCTTTCCGGCGACAAATTCTGATCTTAACTCGTCCATGGCTTTTCTCAGCATCTCATTCTCAGCTTTTACAACCTCCAATTGATTCTTCACCGCTAAACACATCTCCACGACACTGTTACTTCCGAGTGAATTTGAAATCGGAACCTCCTTCGCGGAACCTTCTTCTGAATCCTCATTCGTCACGTGTTCAATCCCGATCTTGTTCATTACGAGCACAGGGAACTTCTCGAACGAAATCCCAGCAGCCTCATTTCGCCTTAGCCCCGCTGGCTCCTCCGCAGCCGGGAACCTGAAGCCCCACCGGAAATTCAGCACCGCCCGGTTCATCAACGGCAGGGCGGTCTTGGCGCTGGCTTCCGTGCCGCTCAACAACCCCGCGACCAAGCTTGCCGGCGACCACTCCGATGGGAGAGCCCCAATCTTTTTGCCGGCTGACAGGCCGTTATCCGTCAAGTAACTGGAATTCACCGCCGGCGGGGTCTCGATCATCTCTGTAGATCTCTCTTCTTCCGAGTGCGCTTCACGATTCATTTTTGACTTAATACCCTTCACGAAGTTGGACGATTGCGACTTCTTAAGACAGAAATCGCCGAACCGAGGCTTGAAGTGGAGGAAGAAGCTAGGTTGTCGGTTTTTGTCTCCGACAAGATTGAGCTCGGCGCTCATGACCATGGGGCTAGAAATCGGCGAGCCGAAATGCCCAATCCCTGTTTTAAAAACGATGCTGAACGGGTTCAACGAGTCATTGGGTCTGTAAGCGAACTTCACAGCGGGACCGGAATCGAAGAAGGTGCCGAGATTCAGGGACAGCTCTTTGGACTCGCCGGCAACGACGCCGGACTGAAACGGAAGCCCTAGGACGTTGAGGGGGACCTTGGCTCGGAACAGCGGCTTCTGGTCTTGGCGAAACTTGATCGAAGCCTTCATCTCGCAGAGTGCAGAAAAACCCTAATCTATTGGTGATGTTGATGAAGAGGGAAAAGTAGGGTTTGATCCAATCCGTATTTGATTTGGTAGCGATTTATAATTATTTCAGGGCTGACATTGGAGGTGTTGGGACTGAATTCTGGACTGTGATTTTGAAGTGGCTGGTACGAATCTGCCCTCTTATTTTATCAGAAATTATTCGAGTGTTAATGGTTTTGGGCGTAATAAAAAGTGATCAAAGAGATACTGTGGTCAATTAATTGTCCGGGTTAACAGGTGGCGGAAAAACATCCATTTTAAAAATGTTTAAATTTTGATTTTTGAAGAGTCGAAAATGGAAAGGATTTAAAATTTGTTTTAAAAGTAATTAATTTTTCTGTTTTGCTTTTGTAATTGACTGGTTAATAGTAACAATGTTAACACTCTTTTCGTATTACAAAAATATGATTAATGGCAAATGTTTTTTCCGTACACTTCACCTTTCTTTTTATATTATTAAAGAATAAATGGAAAAATACTTAGAGTTTTTTTTAAAATTAAATCATATTTAAATAAGAAATTATGTTTTTATTTATTACGCTTAGATTAATTCATGAGTCAAAATTTAAAAAATTAGAAACTCCAAAAACGAGACGGAAATTTTTACATATTGGGTTATTATAGAATTGTGCAAAAAATTCATTTTGACATCTTACTAATTATATAACTCTAAAATGAATTAAAAGTTATATATATTTAAAGTAATAATATTATTTAGTGATGACAAATTGATCATTTATAATTTTTATTAATTTATAAAAACTTAAAACACTCGTTGAACATAAAAATACTCCCCAAATATAATCATAATTTTTTATTTAAATTTGTTGTACCACGCGCCAAAATTTTTGGGAGTCTATAAAAAACCTCTTCTTCTTTTTTTCTTTTTTAATTTCATTTGCAACAATTAGAAAACCTATAGAACTCTCTCTCTCATTTTGATGGGTTCCGAATTCTTTTCCTTTCTATCTGATTTGTTCAGCTCTTAGATATATATATATATATATATATATATCTTGTTAGAGAGTAAGTGATCTCTTAAATAAAATAAATCAAATTCAATAAATAGAAAGAAAAAAATGTTATCACTTAACAACATAAAAAAAAGTTTAGTTTCTAAATTAAATGACCTAATAATTAAATATTTTTTAATATTTTAATCTAATCTTAATTTTTCTATTTATAATAACAAAAAATAATTAAAATATTAATAAATAATTATGAATCAAACCTAACTTGTACTAATTTATTCAATCTAATATATCTAGCCTTACCCAAACCTCTGAACTATTTTCGTACTTATCACATAACACCTCGGAACTATCTATCAACCCATTTGGAAAAAAACACCCCTTGAATTTATAATTTTGTGAATTAGACACCGGAACTATACAAATTCAGTAAACACACCCCGTCGTCTCATTTGCCGTTTATATCGCTGACGGCCTGTTACTCATAAGCCTTCCACTAAACCAGTAAACTTCGCTTGAACGGCTTTTATGTGGTTGTGGTCGTCGTGAAAGTGGAAGTAGAAGTGGTGTACTGTCTTTAGTTACATCTAAAACAATAACTGGCAATTTATAATTTCCATTATTTAGTTAAATACAGGAAATTTAAAATTCGAATAATTTCTTTTTGGTAATATATTTTGTTTTTCATAAGCCTTCCACTAAACCAGTAAACTTCGCTTGAACGGCTTTTATGTGGTCGTGGTCGTCATGAAAGTAGAAGTAGAAGTGGAAGTGGAAGTGGTGTACTGTCTTTAGTTAAATACAGGAAATTTTAAAATTCTAAGAATTTCTTTTTGGTAATATATTTTTATCAGGTTATTAGTTTTTTATATTTCATTTTTAAATATTTTTTTCCATACAAAATAAGCATATTATAATAGAAGAAAAAGATAAAAAAGTATGTTTTTTTATGTTTTATAATTATATCTATTTTCATAAGATAATCAAATGAAAAACATTGGCAAGGAAAAAGAATAAGATTTAGAATTTCATGAATTTCAAATCCAAATCTAATTTTAATGTTTGGCAAAAAATAAATTTTAATATTTACAAATTCTATATTGACAATTGGAAATGAATAAAATTTATAATTAAATATAAAATTTTCACTATTATATTATTAAAAACAAGTATTTTTATACAAGATTCAATAAGTTAGTAAAAACTTAAGTCTTTCGTATATGTGGTTATAGGTGGGAGGAAGAAGTATAAGTTGAATAAAAATAGATTAAAAAAACTATTTAATTTGAGAGTGAAACGATGAGTAATACATATAAATGAAAAGAATATCTAAATAAAGAAAAAATTATAAATACAAATAAATTAAAGAATATGTGTGTGTGTTGAGAAGTTTTAGAAAAAATAGAAAATTGAGTTCTTCGTTGTTATTTTATTTATTTTGCTTTATTGTTTTTTATGTAATAAAAATACTATGAGGTGGGATAAGATGGAAAAATAATTTATTTTTTAAATCAAAATATCATCAAATAATATAAATTTTGAAAAAAATATATAAATAATTTAGACGTGATTTACATTTTATATCATTTTTTAAAATTCTGTATACTTTTTATCTTTTCTAAATAAAATTTATAATTTTGAAATTTTGCAAAAAATAACTTATATTTTACAAATGACATTTTAAAAATTATAAAAAATTTAACTTTGTTTTTTGTTAATGATATTACCAGAAATGCAAATTGGTCGACCCTAACGCCTAGTTCTGCGCAATCTTCATGAGCCACGTCGTGCTCGTCGTCCATCACGAAATCGAAGCCGTTCATCTGGATGACTGGGCGTGGCTTGTCGTGTACGCGACACTCGTGGGTGGATACACGAAAACAAAAACGGTTTGAATCCCTATCAGACGAATGGGGCAGATTAGGGGAAGCGCGCTCTCGAATTAGTTCGCTCTCTTCGAATTTTTTAGGGTTTTTATTTTGCCTCCAAAATTTTCCGTGAATTGATTCTTTTATTTAATTCATCTCTTTCAAAAATTTCAAGTTTCCTCGCGTTGTCATTCCTCATTCCTCTCGCTGGAAGGTTTTCCATTAACGAATCTGTGATTGTTTTGCTGAAATCAATTCCCCAACTCTGGAGAGGTTTTCAAAAGCCAAAAATGGTGAGAGCGGTATTAAAAGGCGAACCGAGTTGTAACAATCGTAGTACCAGAAGAAAGAGCGGAACGGAGAATGTCGCCGAAGCAGGTGCTGAAGAATCTAGAGCCGATGCCGCAAGTGACCGCAGAGTTCTTCGGTCTCGATACCTTGCCGTGAAGACTCGAATATCCGGTAATTTACTCTTCGCTGAGTTCTTAATGCGGTTGATTTACTGTTAGTTCCATGGTTTCATTCTCATCTGGCTGTACATGTGTGCATCAGTGCATCCGGGTCAGATTATGCGTTTCAAATTTAGGAGTTGGTTTTGTTGATTGATACCTGTATTCCTCTTTGTTGTTTGTTGCAGATGACAGAGATGACATATCAAAAGTTGATTCTGACAAGTTCAATTCGATCATCAATGAAGTGGAAAGCTTGCATCAACTAGGTATGTATCAGAAATACTGAGGTTGTTTTCTAAATTCTTTGAGCTAGTAGTTTTATGTGACTGTAGATACTTGTATGAAGCGGCGAGTGCGTTCACATAGTAAGTGTGAAAAGCACTGTTCTTAGCGGTTGGTTTCGTTAAGACACTTGGTTCCCATCTGGTTACAGGAGCTTGGAGACTAAAACCTTGCTACTGAATCTGGTTTTCAGTGCAGAAACCGAGAGAGCAAGTTGCAGATGCTGAAGCGCTATTGGACATCACGAACACCTTGGTGAGCTCTGTTAAAGCACATAGTAATGAGGGGATAACTCCGTCAGACTTTGTGAGCTGTCTGCTCAGAGATTTTGGTAAACAAGTTGGTCCAAGTGGCAGCACAGAAGACGTGCGGAACTCTATTGCTTGGAAGGATATCGGTCTTGCAGTTTCTCATGTCTTTCTGAGGGCACCAGGATGCTGCACTATGTATGTGTATAGTAGCATGACATAAATGTTTTTTCATGTGATTTTAATGTTAACTCTTCAGTTTGTTACTCTACAGGCTTGGACCTATGAATACTGAGCCAAAACAAAGGAAGGCTGCTGTTCGTAGAAAACATGTGAGAGCAACAGAAACTTCACGACCTGAAGAGGTGATCAGGCTCCATCCAAGCTTCACTGCTTCTCATGCATAAATATTTGTGTACATCAAGAAGTGATGCTTTCTTCAAACTTGATTCTGAAAGTGACTTGCTTTTATTCAACTGCAAAGAATGAGTAACAAAAAGAGTATATTGCTGTTGAAAAACAAAGGGCCAACCACTTGGTTTGTGTGGAGGTGTTGAATTCTGAAAAGAAGATAATATGTGCATCAAATGAAATGGTGACAGTATACTATTTTTATAAATTTAACCTGGTTGTTATATGAGCACCCTGTAAATAGGTGATGGCATGCTTGATGATGCCTATAGCTATGACTGTTCCTTTTGTTTTAAATTGTGAAGTTTTTTCCTGACAGTGTTGATTGTAGGAGATTCTGAATTGTTAAAAGATTTCTATTTTCTCAGAAAGTTCTAAAATATCCCTTTCCTTTTTTTGGTTTCCTGTTTATTGTGGAGTTATTTTAAGATACTGTGTCTATAATTTGTTTTGAGTCATTTTGAACAAACCTTTGTTGGGACTTAGATGGTTCCATTGCTTGCATTTTAATAATGCTATGATTTACTGTTCTGAAACTTTATGTTTGAATTGGGACATCATCTTATTTGGCCCCATTTCCCACTTATATGAACTTAAAAATTTGATTATTTGAATATTGTGTAGGTATGTTTGCAGCCTTCTATTGTCAAGGACATATACTAGTTTTTTATGCCAACTCTTCCATGCCACTCATAAACGTATGACTGTCTCTTTGATTTATGTATGGAGTTCTGTACATTTACATCATTTTCCCTGGTCTTTCTGCAGCTTGATGAAGCTGCCACGGAAGAGAAAACCGACACTGATAAGAATATGGCAATAATGTTTGACATATTAAAGAAGAATAAGAGGGTCAGGCTTGAAAATTTAGTGTTGAACAGAAACTCCTTTGCACAGACTATTGAGAATATATTTGCTTTATCTTTTCTAGTGAAGGATGGAAGAGTTGAAATAAATGTGAATGACAAAGGCTGGCATATAGTGTGTAAGTTTCTTTGCCATTAATTGACCTGTAGTTCTCATTCTCGCCTCTTTCTTTCGTTTCTTTTGTATAAATTGGGCGAAATCTAATTATTATTATTATATTTTTTGGGGTTCAGCTCCAAGGAATGCCCCAGCTGCAAATGCGGTTGCCTCAGGGGAGGTTTCTTACAGCCACTTTGTTTTCAGATTTGATTTCCAGGACTGGAAGGTAATTGAACATTAACGTGATTAGTTTAAATTCTCAGGTATTATTTTATCAACTTGCAGTGTTGATTCCATTATATATGCTTTTGGGGATTTTCCTATGGGACTTTTCTCACTCATAAACTTTCAGGATAGTTTGTTAGTTTTGTCTTCAAAGATAAATAATTTGCCTGTTTATCAACTTGCAGTGTTAACTCCATTACATATATTATTTTGGGGATTTTCCTGTGGGACTTTTGTCACTGATAAACCTTTGGGATAGTTTCTTAGTTTTGTTTTCAATGATAAGTAATTTGGATGTTTATGTTATCGCAGACACATTATATTCTAAACTTGCCCTTGATTGACTTCACAGTTGATGGTGGATTCTGTTGGTGTTGGAGAAGAGCTGATGCCAAACAGGATTTTGGACAACATTCCAAGTGCTTCTCAGACAGATGAAATACCTGGAGATACTCAAGGAACAGGACCACCCACAACTCCAATCAGAAAGTTATCCCGGAATCGTGGACTGGTTTTACAGGAGCAGACAGTCGCGGAAGACTCCCTGAAAGTGATGAAGCAGCGAGAGCTGCTGCCATTAGGAAGGGAAAGCGGAAGCTTAGGTGATGTGAGTGCACGTTTGATCTTGAACCTTCCTTGGGTTCTGAACTTGTAACCTTCATTTAGGAGACGAGAATTCCTCCAAGTAATTATAATTTGGTGGATGCTGCTACTCTTTTGTATTAGTTTTTAGGTTAGTTTCGAGTATATATGTGTAACTAGTGCTTTTGATACTATCTTTCAGCATCTGTTCGTGGTTTTATATTAATGTTGCTTCTTTATAGTTATATGGTGATGTCATCTTATCAAGAAATTGAAGTTCAATACTGGAGAAGCTAATTGCATTAAAATCTGGGGTTAAGTTAGGAAAAGGATTCAGATGTGTTTGTATGTTCCTACTTTTGTAAGCTTGATAAGTTGTGAGCATGGATCTGGAGCCTCTGTTTGCATATGTTGGCTATAAGGGCAATTGCCGATTTGCCAAGGACTGCTTATGGTGAATGCAGAAAGAACAATTCTTCGTTGATGGTTGATTAAATTCTTATTTATTTTATTATAATTCTCATGGATATTGCATTTGCGGGTGATTATGATGCTTTTTTTAACAATACTATGTTCATATTTATAGCGAGGCAATAGAAATGTTTAATATTAACAGGATGTTATTTACATGATTCAAACCTCTGCTATATTTGTTATTCCCCCAAATGTAGGAGGTATTCTGAATTGCATTGTGGGTTGTAAGCGGCTCGATTTGGTTTAATTGGAATTTCAATTTCTCTAAACTAAAAGTGGGGGTTTGGATTTTTCTGTTTTTGAACTGAAAGTGAATCAAACAAAAACTGAATGCATCGAATTTGAGAAGAGTGTAGTGGCAGCAAGAGTATGTATATAATAAGAGCAGGTCCACTTCTTTAATTTGAAGCATATTCGGTTTGATTTGATTTTTGTAATTATTTGATCTTTTGAATTGAAATTATAATCGAACTCTACTAATTGAATTGAACTGAATAGCTTCCGTTCAGTTCGAATTTCAGTTTTTTTTTATTCAAACTTTCTCCCAGTTTGCATGACATCAGTGAAAGCTTAAGGCAGCTTGAGATCTCTGATTATGCACTTGAAACTTCAGTGGTCAATTCCAAAAACTAGCGCCCTTGCGCAAATTAGGTATTCCATCATGTATATCGAATGAATATGATAACAGGACTAAAATCTCCACCTTCCCTAACCCAAAAAAAAAAAAAAAAAAAGAACAGGAAAACCTCTTCTAGTCAGGAATATAATCATTATTTTACTCAGGAAATTGTAACAAAGGCGTAGTTCAGTTGATTCTTTGGGTCGTTTATGGCAATATATGGAACCTGGGGATCCCGATAGAGGGTGGAGTTTCTCTCTCTCTCTCTCTCTCTCGGGGCCTCTTTTTTTTTTTTTGAGGGGGGGTGGGGGTGGGGATTGTGTCCACATATCCTACTGCTTTCTGCGTCTTTGAAGAAAATAAACGAAATGATTAGTTCAGATTTTGATGACATTTGATTTAATTCCTTCAAAAATAATTTAGCTGAAAATTAATTATAATGCAGCCTTTGAATAATACACAGAATGGGATGATCACGCTAAAGTTCTGGGTTATCTATTCTTCTTAATTTTTAAAATAATCCTCCTACCAGATGCATTGAAAAATGAAATATGAATGCACAAATACGAGCAAGCAATCAACCTGTTCCCCTAATATTCTCTGAATTTATATGAAAATTGTCCAGACGCTGTTATTAGTTGGATTAAGTCTTCAATATAATTGTTTTTGTAACATAAAAGAAATAATAATCATAACTGATTTTTACGTATTATCAGAATAGCTGCTCCCTGTCGATTATTAGAACAACTATCAGGGGTTAGCAAGCCATGCCAGCAAATATTGCTGTAGGAAATAATGGACGTCATGATCAGGAATCTCACCTGCAGTGCAGATTTAGCCATGCTAGATATTTGGGTGATTTTAATTTAGTTTCTCCACTATATTGATATTGAAGGGCATTTATCTCAAGACTCACAAAATGGTCTACTCCATGGTGCCATGGAAACAGCACTGATATCATAGTATTATTCCTACAACAGAAGAAGCAAATTGTCCTCACATCAAAATGGGTTTCTACGCTGCAAAGCACCTGGTCCAATAACAAACCTCCAGAATGACACGGTAAATAACAAAAAATAAAAATAAAAATGAACTGATATACGTTATTGATAGGAGCCACTTATGTTTGACACTAGTTATTACTACCTTAGTGGGCTTTGGGAATGTCAAGATCTGCAAATACTGGGCTGTCGACTCCAACACCCATGGCATTCAGACCATTGTCAACATACACAACAGCACCCGTGATTGCCGAAGCCAAAGGTGATGCAAGGAAAGCAGCTGCATTCCCTACTTCCTCTGTTCCATATGTTTCAGAGTTTCAGTAGTTGAAGGGAAAGTAAGGGCGACAAGGTATGAAATGTTTTTTTGATAGAAATCAAACTTAAACATTTAGAGTTTGAAATTGTTTATTACTTTCAAGGAAGACAGAATCAAAGAAAATGTTTGGAATTAGGAGAATTAGTTGTTGAAACATTTTCTCTAAACAAGTGCAAGCAGAAAATTTATATTGGCAAAATTTTGTCAATTTTGGCAACATGTGCAAAATTTTGAAAGTTGTAAATAAATAATTATTGTATATTTCTGTGTAGTTGGCAAAAATTTTCAAACATAACAGAACATGCACAAAAAGTTAGAACAATGTGACTGACCAAAATATTTAGTTTTCTTGGCTTCACTGATTTTCCAAAATAGTCAAAAGGCAAAAGCACTGTCATATCTATTTAAAATTTTTTAATATACATGGAGATAGAACTAGAAACTTAGACAAGTGTGCATGTATATCATACCATATTTACCACATACATCATGAAAAGTAACCTAGTTGCATCAAAATATACTATTGAATCAACCAAAGGCAGCAAAGGAAAGTTAATGACTTGCCTGCAGTCAGTTCTTTCTGCAATGGTGCATTTTCCAAAGAGTAGTCAATCATCATATCAATGAAGCCAATGGCCTTTGCAGCACGACTTCTCAGAGGACCTGGTGTACAATTGTAATATGTGAGCCAAAAAAGGCAAGATAAGAATTCATATTTCATTAAGAAATTAAACAAGCAGCTCTGTTCGGATCACATTGTCCATCTGTTGTCTGAAACATTCTCAACACTAATAAATAGACCTGATTTGCTACAAAAATTGAAAGCAAACTCTGTAAATGATGTAAAAGGACTGTTTGAAACTATTGAACCACTTAAATTTACAGAATAAAGGGTTAGTGGCAACTAGGGATCAGCCCAAAAATATGAATTTTGCTCTATGGACTAGTTTCGTGGCTTTCAAAGACAGCAAAATGATTTTAAGTAGGAATCAAACTGGTTAACATTTTTGAGCAGGTTAGATAAGATTGGATCCTTTTAAATGAGGACAACCTACTCTTCTCCTCCTTTTGCTGAGATGTTCAAACACAGAACAGCTAGTTCGAACAAACACTTGAAGCTGAGCAAAAAACTTCTAATATAAATTTACAATATAAGAATTGACAGAACTTTAAGGAATATGCACTTGAGTGCATCCATGGCCACTGGGCATAATTTCAGCAAAACCACCACCCTCCATACAAAATCCTAATTTAACCATGCCATAACTAGAATGCTACAGAAAACGTGTGGCATATTATTGGAATGGTAAAGTACCCGCAGATATTGTGTTGACTCTAATTTTGTGCTTTCTTCCAGCTTCAAAGGCCAGCACCTTCATCATGTAAAGAAAAATTGTAATCCATTAGAAAATATAAAAAATCAAGGGGGCTAAATATATTTATGGAAGAAGAACTATAGGAAAATAAAAAGGAGAGGAAGAAAGCAACAAAAGTGATGGGAGAAAACCCTACTTTAGTGTCACTCTCGAGGGCAGCTTTTGCTGAGCTCATGCCTCCTCCATACCTGCATGTGAAAAGTTCTCAATGACCTAAATTTGCACCTTTTGCTATTATCCAGAGGATACATGACCAAATATATTAAGATGCAGAAATAGAGATATACCCTGGTATTATCCTTTCGGAAGCAATGTAAGTTAGAGATACTGAGGCACCACCTGTAATTATAGCACAAGCTCAGTTCCATGATTATCTATAGATAACAAAGGAAAAGGGACAACATAAATCAAATAGGAAGAGACTCTGCCTGGATTCATGATTGGAACGAAATGCTTCAGCAAAGAAACAAAAGAATAACTTGAAGCAGATATGGCTGCAAGATATCCATTTCTGGATGTTTCTAACAGTGGTTTGCTAACCTGACCATGGTCGTAAGCAGTTAAAATGCCATAAAGAAAAGGGGAGATGGGGAAAGAGGGCAAAAAACAGAGGAATAGAAAAGAAAAAAAAAAAAAAAAAAAAAAAAAAGCAGACCTCTGGTCCATTGGCAAGTGAGTGCACCAGAATGTCAATGCTGCCAAAATCCTTCTTAACAGATTCAGCAACTTCCTGCAGATTTATTCCACCAATCAATCAATAGCTCACATGTGCCTTAATTATAAAGTCCCATAACTTCACTGCTTGACACACTTCAAGATCCAGAGACATAAAATTGATAATCTTAGTCATCTACAATGATACTACATGTGATTGTAACTTGAAATAATCTTTATCAATATCAATATTATTATTATTTAAAGGGATTATCCCTATTTCATCAAACATAATTTAGTTTCATGACAAGCCAAAAAGTGCCGACAAAAGAAATCACATAATGAAAGAAAGTCGATATTATGAACTCTGAAATCAGAAAATCCAAGTGAGAATATTATTGAGCTTCAATCCAAAACTGTGGGCTTATACTGATTCACAATATTTTTATTTAGATAATTCTGCAGTTTACATACTATGATAATAGGTCTAAGTTACAACCAATATCTTCAACATCATAGCAAACTTTTTGAATGACTAAACCATGCAGAGATTGTTATTTACTAAGTTTCAGTGTGGATTGCGTTTGATGTTGCTTTTCAACACACAAAACTCTTGCAGATAAAACAGGATGAAAGCAAGGAGAAATAATACCTTAACAGTCCAATTTGTGGACCCTGCATACCTTTTGTTATTTTTTACCTGCATGGAGCAATATCATGGCAATGTCATTTATGAGATAATTTATAAATCTGATGTTCACTGGGGGTCTCTATAAAGTTCTAGAAATTACATCTTCAGGAACATCCTCAGGACTGTCGTACACTGCATCCAGTGGATACACTTTTGTGATCTCCATCAAAGAGCCATCAGGCAACCTGAAACATTATATTTATGATAAGAAGGCAGTTGATGGGGATGGGCCAAATTGAGTATAAGTCAGGCACGTTGGACAATTTCTTACATGCGTGATTCATCAAATTTCCCACGGCGAAGACTGGTCTCGAAAATGTTCAGAGCCTGCAATGACAAATCCATTAGGATCCAGGAATAATATTAAGTGCCCTAGAATCTTTGCAACCACACTTGTGCTCATAGATTGAGAAGGATGTACCGGAACCCATGTTCCCACAAGAATTTCAGCACCTGCAGCAGCAAGAGATTTGGCGATTGCCCAGCCATATCCATTATCATCAGCTACTCCAGCAATAAATGCCCTTTTGCCTGCAAATAAAGGTTAATAAATCACATACTGGCATTGAGGCAAGACATCAAAGTATGGAATAATTGATGGATGTATACATTCCATAAAGCTAAATCCATGTGAAGATTTTATTTTTTCTCCTCTATTTGGGTGAACAACACAAATATAATAGTAAAGTAAAACATCAAACAACTTTAATATCTTCTTACATTTTATCATTCTACACATTTCTTGCCCTACGAAGTTTAAATTTTGACAACTCTATTCCCCCTTGAAGAATAAAAAGAGTAAGAGAAGGGCAAGAAAATTACTCAAGTGCATCTGAAAAGAATGAAATGAGGTGGAGATAAAGTAAAAGAACACAATCAAAAACGTCAGAAACAGAATTTGTTAAGATAACAAGAGTTATTATGAAGAAAAGGGGAACATGGAAATATCTGACCTCTCAAATCAATTGGCAAGCCAGACAGAGGCTTGCTGTTGCTTGCTTTAGACATTGCTTTTGCAACAAATTTTTGTAATTTCACAGAAGAGAATTGGAATCTCTGGTGCAATGGCTGTGCTGATGAAATATGGGAAGAGCTAGTGAGCGCTGCCCAAGATGCTCCTTTACTTCCCCTTCTGAACATTGCAGTGCCTGGCTTAGAGGCTGTGGAAGAAGAATTAGCGCAAGGGTTGGCCATTGCAATGTGCATGGCAGGACTTGCACTTGAAGCCATTTTTTATATGTTGGTCTGTAAATATATAAACCTAAAATTAGCAGATTTTTAAGCTTTAAAAAGGCAAACTTGATTAAGAAATTTTTTTAAAAAAGCAAACACAATTTTTTCCAAGATTAAAAAAATAATCACATATAACATGTAACATTTTATAATCTAAAATAATCTGCAGAATAAAATCTAAGTCACCAACAAGTTAGTAATTATTTCCTTCCATTCTTCTTGGAAGTCTGTGGATACAAATATATTAAAAATGAAATGCAAAAACCTCCCAAGTAAGCAAGAGTTCTTTCAAGTTCTGTGGCCCGTGGGGTGGGGTGGGGGTGGAATCTGTTTTCCTGGGTGTGAGGGATGCAATCTCACCATTTATTCCAATAATACAAAAGCAAGAAGGATGTGGCAGGTATGCAATCTTAAATAGTAAAGATCAAAAACTTAGTTTTACTACTGCAGAAATATTAGCTCATGCATATTCCATTCCCCAGTCAGCCTAGAAATCTACCACCAGGGCCCATGAATCATAGTTGCAGCATTGATTTGCACAACTTGGAGCAAGCCTGTGGTTTTATGCTTTAGAAAACATGTAAACTGGAAAAGAAAACATGTTTGTTCAGACTATCAATGCTCTGAATATTATCTGTAAACATTGTCAAAGTTACAAAAGTTTTGAAACTGAAAATTTCATTTTACATTTGTTAAAAGAATTTCATCACTTTCCATTCTTCCCCATTCAGTCCAAACAAACATCACATTTTGTTTCTCCAAAAAAAAAAAAAGGTTATTTTCAATACTCTGTAAACATTAATAGAAAAAACAAATAAATTACCAAGGATAATCCACAATCTTTAATTTTGCATCACATCCACCTGTTTCATACAATTTTCTAATAGATATATGTATGCCCTCTCCAAATTTTTGGGACTTACTCTTGGGCCTTATCTAGAATTATTGTCCTTTTTATTGTCAGCTTTGGACCTGTCAAGTCCTCTTGACTTCTACAAAGGTAGCTTTGCCAGGAAAACTATAAGCGTTACTCCTCTGGTATAGAAATTAAGGGTCCAAAACCACGTTAATGGAAAGAAAATGAAACAAGGATGGTCCTCTGTCCAGTACAACCTACAAATTATTATCTTTCCGAACAAAACAATAAAACATGCAAACAGACAATATTTCAGATAAAAAATGTATTAAGCAATATATTGACAGAAGCAACTTTCAACCGTTCCATAAATTTACCCAAGGAAAAAAAAAAGATATAACAGCACTCGGAAGAGCATTCCAGATAAGAAGAAAGATCAAAGAATACCCATGTCAGGTATTTAGTTCAAAGCACTTGTGATGATAGTGTCAGAAAAAAGAACTTGAACCAGTTGCCAGCTCTGCCAAGAGATTGACAATGGAATCGTTTTGGCAGCCAAGAAAGATTAGCCAACCCCAAAGTTGTGAGACCAATTTCCCCCAACTGATCAGAACATTTAGCCCCAGAAGTTAACTAAAGAAACAGAGTTTGCCATAACCCAAGTCTCAACTGTCTAAGGCTCCGGAAGAAAAGAGCAAAAAAGATGACGTATAAAGTTTCACCCAAAGAAAATAGGCCATTAAAGCAACGCTTAACATTTTACTGCTAGGAAACAGGTACAAGGACTGAACATTGAACAAATCTATGAATAACGAGATTGCAAAGCTTTCATTTCATTGAAAATAGTGACGTACAAAAACCCAACCGTATCTTTAATATCAATCTTGCAGATTACATTAATGAAGATCCAGCTCATCTACAGAAAATTACCAAAGATCATGGGTAATTAATTACTCTAAGGGTACAGCAATAAGCAAAATTCAAAGCTTTGATCTCCAGCAACACAAAACAACGATTCAACAATAGGCATTGTATTTCGAGCTACATTTAACTGACCTTTGACGTCACTATATACACATATATACAGGGGGTAGAAAGGAACAAAACCGAAATTTACCTTCCTAAAGCTGGAGAAAATGCGCGATTTGAGAGCTGAACTGAAGCAAGAATCAGCTCTCCTCGTGATTATCAGGAGCTTCGAAGTTCAGGGGCGGAGAAAGATATATAAATCAGAGAGTGGGTAATCTGTATGGCATGGGTTTATAGGCTAAAAAGGCTTCGATAATATCGATGTGGGGACTGTTTGGTTGTTCGAACAACGGTTTGGAGAGCTTCGTAAATGCCGAGACCAAAGAACGGGTAGAACAGGCGAACAGCACTGCAGGAGGTTTTCACCTTTTCCTCTGGTTCAGTTGGCGAAACGTTGATCGTGCTCATACGTGGCCCATTTTACGCATTTGCAGGACTTGGGCCAAATCACCAGTGGGCCTTTCTTAGGGTTCCTTTGGATCACTTTCATCTGCTCCATTGGACGTAAAATTTTTGGGATACAAGTTTTTAAATTTTGAAATAAAAGTCAAACAGGCCATGGTGAAGGACTTGGCCTCGCACGGTTTGGGCTTGGGAAAAGCCCAGCCCATTAAAGGTTTTTTTTGGTTTATTAATTTGTAGACAATAGCAAAATGGCACGTAAGAGATTAGGGCTGTATTGAGTTGGATTCAAATCAAGTTATGATAGATCTATATATGAATCCGATAATTATATATTATATTCAAATTCAACTTAATATTCGATTGAATTTGTAATAAGTATTACTATATTCAAATATCAAAAAAATCTGATATCTGAAAAAATAATCTGAATCTAAATAAAATTTTTTTAAAAAATAACATAAGAAATACTTTAAAAAATATAATGAACTGATAAATAATATTAAGTTTTAAAACTATTAATGTAAAATAATTACATTTTAATCCACCACAAATTTTCATTTGGAGATGGCTTGCTGGTAATAGTATTTCCCCTCAAACTAAGCAAAAGTAATTTTGTACAACATTTTATGAGCTGTTTAGATTTCTCCTTTTGTCTAAAATTCAAATTTTATATGAAATAAAAATATTATATTGAAAATTCTTATTATTTAAATGGTTATTTTCATAATATATGATGGAAAAGTGTAAATGTTATTTTAATTTTTTTTTTACATTAACCAATACTTTTGTATAACTAAAAAAAAAGTAAATTTTAGAAGTAAATTTAATACAAAAATTATATTAAATATTATGTCATTTATCCACACAAAGATTAATAACAAAAAAATAAATATCTAGCAAATGAAGCATGTAATTAGTATATTTTGTAAAAATTAATACTTGAAAATCTGAATAACTAAAAGTATTGATGAGTTATTCAATTACAAATTTTTTTAGAATAAAAATAAATGAAACATAAATATTAAGATTAATTATACTATATAAATTATTTATTTTTATTTAAAATATTTTGCTTAACAAAATTTGTTTAATTTTATAAACTAAATTATGGTGCACCTTATTTACTTTTTGTTAAATTCATCTACCTATAAATACAATAATAGTTGTGTGTGTACATATTGTATATATATATATATATACATATATATTATAATTGGAATTTGGATATTTAACGGATCGAATCATGTGAGATCCAAATTTGCTCTATTTATTTCAGATTACGAATTTTTTTAATCAGATTATGTCGATCGAATTTTTTATCAGTTAAAAATCTTAAATAATCGAATTGAAATCGGGTTAAAATCTACTCATTGACAATATTATAAGAGATTAATTAGGGCGAAGAATCTTTCTTAGTCAAAAATGAATAGGGGATTTTATGCGTTGTACATAAAATGTATATTATATATTATATTGTTTCATATTAAAATCTAAGAAAAATTAGTTTGCAGAACTAAAAAAAAAAATTAATTTTTGAGACCGTCCAAAATCTATTTTGCCAAAAAGAACCTATTGTTTATTATATGTTGATACATACTTTATTTCATATTACCGCATAAATCATCCACCTAAACTGTAATACCTTAGCCGTAGACCAATTCTTCCCCTTTCTGTACATTTCTTTACATGACCTAAAATAGTATAAATTATTTAGTAAAATTAATTATAAATATATCACATCATTTTAAAAATATATTTATTAAGTATGTAAGTATATATGATAATGTAATATAAACAATAGATATGGTTTTTAGAAATTATAGTATAAAATATAAAATTATTGGCTATGGATATGTGTGAATGTATAGAATGAGAAGATACATATTTAATTGTTAATAAATTAGAAATATAAATTATTTGAAATATATTAGGAAATTTTCCTAATAAATAATTATTGTGAAAATTTTTTATCAATTTAAATTGGGTTTGGAATATCTTATTTTGGTAATTTAAATTATCATCATCGGGGATAATTTTTTAAAAATAGATGAAATTTTATGACGAATAAAATTGAAGGAGAAAAATATTAATATGTTCCCAGTAACTCAATAAAGCATTTACTCACGGTGATTTATAAAAGTAAGCTAGTATCACCAAATCAGCAACTTATTATTATTATTCCTGGGCAATTGTCAACTTTAGTTTGTAACCATTATCACCAAGTCGGCGACTTCTTGTTGTTATTATTAATATGAAAATTAATCAAATTTATTAGGTTATCATATAATATAATTATTTGATTGTTTATTATAAACAATTAAATTTATTAGGAATAGTTTAATTAAATTTTTATAATTAAAAAATTTTAATTAATTAAAATGAATTTTCAAACAGCAGGATATGATTGGAATTATATAAAAAGACCAAGGGCACAACGGTCTTTCAAAGAAAGCAGGAGCAAATTGCACGTTCACATGCAGAGGCAAGCGCACATGGCCAATTAGAAGAAACTTAGGGGTAAAATAGTCATATTAATCATCAAAATATTTCTGAATTTTTCAAATTTAAAAAGAAAAAGAAATTACGTGACGTGAAGCGACGTGGCTCGAAGGCCAATTACATCACGCCATGCGTCTATTTGTTGGGCCCGGAACGTTCCAGTCGGTCTCCCGTTCGACAGCCTCGCCGCCGTCGCTCCTAATCACCTCTGGTAGGCGCGATTTCAGCCTTAGAGCCGGCATCATTCCGCCGTCTTGAGCGAGGACGAAAGCCGCCATTGTAACTGCCAAACAAAGCCCCACCTTGCCAGCCGTTGTAACTGGCTGCATCCCCTGCGCGGCCGACGTGGGATGAATCGTCGATTGTTTTGGACAAGCAGAATCTTACCCTCATCCGCCCCTCTCTCGATTGCTGCCTCCAAGTTCTTCTCTGTACCGACATCTCCGCTCCCATCGCTGTCACCGTTGCAGATGACGGAGCAAACGTGTTTCTCACAGTAGTGAGAGGGACGGAGGGTTAGGTAAATTGTCGAGATAGAGGAGGGCTTGTAGGGAAAATGAAAGAGAATCCAGACTCCTTGTTTGCATAATGAAGGTATTTTGTCTCAATTTAAACTTCGTCTTTTCCTCAATTTTCATATCCAAGCCACAGGTCTTGACATATTTAGTTTTAAATCCTCCATTTCTCGAGATTTCAATTTTAAATACTTTACTGTGTTATATGTTCACTGACATCCACAGGTACGAGGTGCATGTAAACTCTGTAAAATTAATGTTGCCAAAATCCCTTCCACCGAAAGCAACCAATCAGACAACATAAAATTCAAAATACTAAATTAATAATCACAACGAAGGAAGAGAAAACAAGAGGATCTCCAATAACAGTTTTGGAGAAAATAGAGAGGGCTGTTACTACACTACAGAAAAGCTAGAAATGAAAGCAGTCTGATAAATACAAAGTCATGAAATTAGGCTCGACTTGGGCCACCTTCAGTAATCCTATTTTCTGATTATGTTTGTTATCCTTCATAACCGGCCAAGTTGGTCCTTCATCGGGCCATGCCAAGGAATTCCACCGACCGTCTAGCCATTTTAATTACCAGCAAAATTAAAAAAACAAAAAAAGGAGAAAGTTTAAAAATGGAAATATATAAATCAATTTGCAGAAAGGGTTAATACTGTTGTCAGGGCCATTACAATGAATATCTTCTTTCCTGCCATTCTTCTCTCTGTAGAATTCTTAAAGATGGGATGGAGAAGGTCTGCTTCCTTACACAAATTTATACACCTATTTAGCATGGCCTTATTTGCGTGTTTTTAAGAGTGCAATGCATGGAGAAACTTGGGATTTTTGGTGACCAGAAAATGTCAAAATAAAAAGAAAAGTAAAAAATATAGAGAAGTGCGGTTAATCATCGCTTCTTTACCTTGCATTTTGTGCTATTAATGTATAAATTTACTGGGTGTTAATTAACAAATACGTAATTAAAATAATGTATTGTTAGGTATTGTGGTAATCTCTCCAGAGAAGGAAGATAAATGAAGGCATTTCGGTTGTGTTGTCCTACATCATTGCGTGGTTGCATGCATTGTTAGTGTTCTGAAGATGATGAGGTTTACGCATGCTTAGGTTGTATTGAAATATTTACGCGTGCTTTGCATGGCTTGCAATATAGGATGGAGACACTCAAGGATTTTTATTTTGAGTCCCAAAAAATACAAAGAAAAAGAGGGAACTATTAAAAACGAATCAAAATTAATGCAATGAAGCGGTGAAAATTTTAATTATTTAATTTTTATTATTAAGATATTTAAGATGTAAGTTACATAGAATAACTGATATTGGAAATAAAAATAATATATTTTTAGTTTCAAAATCAAGTAATAACTGAAAATTTTAGAATCACTTTTAATAAATTTTCTTTAGATATGTCATAAAAAATATGAATATTATTTTCTACTGCATTTTCCATTTTTCAGATAGCTTATTGGGTGAACGAATATATCTCCATTGCGTCAGTTTGGAACGCCAATTTAACTGTGAATACATATATATAATCTTTAATTTCTAGTTGAAGAATTTGTATAAAAAAAAAACCCTTTAAATATAACAAGCCATTTTTATTGATTGGCGAAAATAGGCATGACCAAGGAAAAAGGAAAAATAAAATACGAGTCACAAAAGGGATTGAACAAAACGCATCTACCGCAAACATGCAGTGAAGCAGATCGACTCCCACAGACACCCAAAAAAAAAAAACACACACCCACACGCACACGCACACAAACTCTCTATTTTAAATCTTTTAACTATAGGCACCGCCAGTGCCGTAGCCCTTGTTTATGGCGGCCCCGGATTGGGCGTTGTCGGCGGCGGAGCTGCGCTGGGTGCCGGTGGCCGTACCAATCGGGTGCGAAGGAACCACCCCTCCACAACCTGCCCAGCCGGCTCCCCGGTCCCGTGTCCGGGCAACGCCGACATATGGTGCATTCCGACTGGCTCGCCGGTGGACGAGTGGCTATATGTCTCGGACCTCCTCGCCGCCGCGTTACGGTTCATCTCCTCCTGCTTTCTAAGCTCCGCCTCAGTAATCCTATCCTCTTTCTTTCTCTCCGCCATTTCTTTCTGTAACGGGTCTCTCGTCGTCATCTTCTCCGCCTGTCGATTCAGAGCAATTAGAGGCTTGACTTGCAAGAATGATCCTCGGAGTATTTGGAGAATTTCAATTTGTCATCTAATAACATTTGAGCAATCAAAAACCCGAGTTCTAAATTTGGACCAACGTGATCCGCAATACCATTGCCTGTCAAAAAAAGGGAAGAGCAAACCTTTTCTTGGAGGGTGGCTTTGGTTTTCTCCATGCCGGACTTGGCCGACGCTCCGATGTTCGCCGCCGTCTCCTTCATCGACTGCATCTTCTCTAACTTTTCTGTATAGATGTTTTTGGAAATCAAAATCTAAATACAAAACCAATAGACTCGACACAGGTAGTTTACTTTTTGAAAGCAACTTGAACACGATTTCAGTGGATACTGAAAGCGAGCAGAATGGATATTTAAACAGGTGATAGATACGAGTCAGGAGGTCTGGGTTGCTGCCACGTGTGGCTCTGGCACTCGGTACCATTTTCTTCTTGGTGACACGTGTACGTGAACTATGCATGAGCTTCTACGAGGTGACACGAAGACGTTTGTCGCCACGTATCGCGTCTTGGAAGTCCCCTCCGCATTTCGAGCGACAAAATGAACGCAACTCCCCAGGGGGTGATGGACTCGGGTCGGTTCATTCAGGCAAATCCATTCTCGGCCCTTATTTCTCAAAATTCTTTTTTTTTTTCTTGTTTCATTTTTGTATTTTGCTTTTCTGAAAATGCATCTTACCTGGTGGTTAATGATATCACTAGTATAGTAGAATTTGACTGAATCATAAGTTATATTATTGTAAGAAAAATAGATAAGCTTTGGTTAATAAATTAAGTGAGAACAAATTTTTTAGGTTCAAAATTAAGGACATTTCACATTTTTTAAAAAATTAAAAAATTTAATTCTAAAAATTTTGAATATATTTTGCATTTCTAAAAGCCTAGGGATTATACATTTTAATTATTTTATCAAAATCTTTTTCAAAATGTGAATTTAAAATTTTTGATTTAGTAATTTCAATAATTTCAGAAAAAAAATTCTATATGCTTTAAAATCTTGTACCATATAATTACAAGAAATTTTGGGCTAGTTATATCTATACAGGGAAGTAGCTCTGAAAATCGTTTTCCATCCAAAAAATAATAAGAAAACAAAAACAAAAACAAAAACAAAACTAGTACTTGAAAAAAAGCCCTTTGAATTGTTGTTAATCACCTCATAGCGCTCTTCAAAGTATTTTTTTTAAAATAAAACTTTATAAAGAGAAAATCCAACTCTATTGATAATTTGTAGGAATAATATTCAATTCTTATTCCTCTCGGTATTACCTATTCCAAATTGCAGCTTTACTGCCAACTTATTGAAGCTTGCAAATACTTTGCTCATCAATGATTTAACTCTCAATAGCCAAACGCATTTGGACTTCAATATAGTTTGAATATATAAAAATGCTTTAGTTATATATTTGGAGATCCAACAAGTTTTATCTGGGGATAGCATGAGGTTAAATAATCCCAGACCCGTTCAATAATAAGTTTAGAAAAGATAAATATAAATAAAATAAATTTGAGAAAAATAAAATTCTCTCAACTGAAAGAGAGGGACAATTGTTTTCCGACTTGGCCAAGCCTGAAAACAAAACAAACAAGGCTTGGGAACAATTGTACCACCATTCTAGCATCAATTGAGCATCTTTCCTCGCTCAATGCACGAATTGACAAATCAAACTGGTGATCAATCAAAATCGCCAATCTGGTTTTAATCCTTCCTTACTCAATGCACGAATTGTCTTTTGTTTTAAAAATATTTTTTATTTTAATCAATTTTAAGTAATATATTTTGTATTATAGTTTAAAATTAGTATTGAATTAACATTTTAAATTAATTTAGCATGAGTATTCACTTCCAAACTAAAAGGAGCAACTTTTAAAGTATGTTTTATCTAGTACATTCATCTAGATAAAATGTGAAGAAGTAGGATTATCAATAAATTAGATTTTAATTTGAATTTTACATAAATTCAATCTAAAATTTATGATTCGAATTTAATTAAAATATTCAATTGATTAAATTCGATTATAATTATTTATAATTAGAAATAAGTGGATTGAATACGAAATTAAATAATCTAATCCGTTAAGGATTTGATTTTGAATTTTAATGATATTTTTTAATTAAATTAATAATACTATACATATGATATTAATAAATTAAAAACTGTAAAGATTAAATTAAGAAAATCAGAAAATTTAAAAATCAATATAATAGATGAAATAGAGTCGAATAACTTAAATGTAAAAGATGATTATTTTCTTATCAGATCGGATTTTCTTATTGAATTTTAGATTATTTATCGAATTCGGATATGATTTAACAAATATATATCCTATAAAATTTTAAATCAAGTTTAGATATAGTAATAATTAACCAAATTCAAATTTAAATATACGGATTTAATTCAAATTTAACTTATTCATAACTGAAGCTGAGAGCACCACGACAAGTGGCCTAGTGAGCTCTTGATTGCGGGGATTCCATGTCAAAGAGGCATATACATCATTTATGAAATTGCTTGTACTTCCTGCGGCAACTTGGAACAGGGGTTGGTTGAATAGTTAAGACTAGAAATTTACTGAACAGGAGGGAGTGTACCTTCGTGTTTGGTGCTTATCCACCGAGATGGTCACCTGCTAGGCACCACAGTATCAATTGAGCTCTAGATGGGTCGGCCCAGTATCTTAATTTGCAAGGCGCGTATTTGTATTCAACTCCATTTACAGATAGGAAATCTATATAACATCATAGAGTTGTTATGATGGGTTCCACCAGGCAGGCTCTCCGGCTAAAATGGCTATGCATTTCTCAAAGCAAGTTACAAAGAAAGATACATGGTGTATTTTGATAATTTGTTTTATAAATATTACGAGTAATATTATTAAAAAATAAAATTTAAAACCTAGATATGAAATATTTATGTTATCCTCCCTCCCCATATAACTTATTCTATTCAAATTAGAGATTTATCCTTAATTGATTTTTTGTTATGGTCAATTTTCATGCGTACCAAACATGTTATATACTGAATATAATGAAATATTTATCTAATTTTTATTCTTTTTAGGACTTTATAATGAGCCTTAATTGGAATAAATGCTTTTATGCAACTAATTGAAACTTAAAAATTAAAATTGTAATTTTATTTAATAAAATAATGATTAAAATCTATTGCATCTAAGGAAACAAATACCTATTTTCAAGAGTATAAAAATATGAAGTAAATTCATTTTGTAATAAAACTGTAATATCCAAAATTTTAGAGTATTATTAGAATTTAAAATCTTAGAAAGACTTAATTGAATAAGATAGAATGTTAAGGACTTAAATAGAATTGATTATAAAAAAAAATTAAGGGACAAAATCAAAACGAATCAGAGAACTGGGAATTTGATTGAAATAATAAAAAAGTTACGTATTTTGTAAATCTAAAAATTCCACATGGATCCCGCGACCGGATATATCCAAATTTTGAACAAAATTTAGCAAAATTGACTCGAAATCTCTGAACCTATATATGCGATGGTGAAGGAGGAATCAAAGCCCCAAATCAATTTCTATCAATTTTCTTTCAAATTATGAAATCTCTCGTTTTCAATTTTCTGTAGCCAGTCGGTTTTTTTCTGAAATCTGGATTGAATCCAAAGTTTGTCAGTCGATCCACTCAACTTGCCCCATCGCCTAACTATTCCGACTGCCACCACGGAGACTAACTTCAAGAACTCGAACAAATCTCCAGGTATTTGTTTAATCCTTGTTTCCGATTTCTGCAGTATTAACGGTAAGGAAGAAAATACTATAAAGGATCCGGATCAGTGTCAGTTTGTGTCACGAAATGGGTCAGAAGTTTGCATTGGGTTGGGCTACGGCCCAACGGGCCAGCCTTTAACCTGTTAGGCTTTGAGGAATGGACTGGGGGCTTCCTCGGCCGAATAAATGAGTTTGGGCTAATTCGAAATTTGGGCTGGACCAAAAACAAAAAGGACTGGTTTGGTTAATCATTGGGTTTAGTTGAAAACCGGACATTGGATCTGGATTAGGAAGAAAAAAAGTAATAATAGAGAAACCTGCCAGTTTACAGGGATCCCAACTGTTCTCTTCCGGTTCAAGGCACAAAAATTTGGATTAAAGTATGAGCTAACTAGTTTAAGGTCAGTTTAGGAAAAATAATACTGATTTAAGCCCAATTCAAAAGGTTTTGTGCATAAAATCAGCTGGTTCAGTAGATAAAGTGACTGGTTCAATGTGTATACTGTCCAATTCAATATATTTATGTCCGGTTTGGAGTGTATTGTAGCCAGTTTAGTGTCCTGCAAGGCTAGTTCAATGTATTAAAAGCCGGTTCGAGAGTGATTTAGCGTATTAGATACCAAATCATGGCTAGTTTGACATTTTAATAAATGATTTAAGACTAGTTTAAATATTTTAATAATTAATTTATAGTTTAAATAAACTAAATTTATATTTTGTAAGTCTGATTCAAGGTTTTATCACTTGGTTCATAACTTATTTAATCGATTTGGGGCTTTGATAGCTCAATATGAGTTCAGGCACGAAAATCTAGAATTTTATTTAGTTCCTTAATTAGGAAAATTTATTTATACAATTCTTAGATATATTAGAGACATAAATTGAGACATTTTACTTATTTTATGATTTTAGATTATTCGTACGATACTTGTTGAACTGTGTTGCCAGAGATTGGACTTATTAGGTTCTGTTGTTTTGTGAGTAATAACATACATTTATGAGTATTTATTATTTTTCATAATTATTATAAACTCCGATTTTATATGATATTTCTGATTTTTGAACATTTGATAAAATTCTGTTTTAAAAAGTGAAATAAGGGATATGTATTAAATTTCTGAAATTATTTGGAAATGAATATCTGTTAATTATGTTTGACTTTGTACATGGAAAATTCTGTTAAATTGTTTTTGTTTAATTCTGAAAAATTCTATTAAATGGCTTCCGTTTATTCTGAAAAAAAATAAAAAGTTTTGTTGAACTATTCTGATAGTTCGGAAAATTGTTTTAAGGGAGTTTTGGATTTTAGAACACTACAGCTAACAACAGTAAGCGTTAGCCTGATTACCTTAACTTGTATACATGTATTTTCGGCTGACTATGTGTCACCGTCCTAATTATCGGCTAACTGTGTGTTGCTGTCTTGATTATCGGTATATTGATATGTTGTTGTCCTGCTTATCAGAGGA